CGGGCATCAGTACTCTGAAGATAAGTTCTCTTTCCCAGGCATCAGGGTCATGTTGACCTGCTCATTTACAACTGGGTAGCTCTTTGAAACTTTGATAAATATCTATCCTGGGTAACTTTAATGTATCTTCTTTGTTCTAAAAAGATATAAAACTGTAGGCAAAACCACGCTTCTCCAGAACGCTTTCTTCCTTTGTGGAACCTGCCTTCCCAGGTTATAATCCTCAGTTTGGCTCAAGTAAAACTCAAATTCTCTCTCCTATATATAAAATGGTTAGTAGTAAATTGCATCGACATCAGACATCTTTTGAATTTATGCGCCTTCTGATGTAGGAGTTCCACTTTTTGGGAAACATCTCAGTGATCTAGCTACAAGTTATACAAACTAGAAATTTTTTTTTGAAACTGAAAAACTCAAAACAACTACAAATTAAAGCTTGATTAAAGGAACAGTAGAAGTAAATCCATACTAGGAAACACTCTGCAGTCATTTTTAAAACTTGTTAAATATAAATATTTTTGACCTGGCCAGTTATTCAGCATGAATTTGTAAGTTGGGGGAGGGGGTAAAGCAATTTTTAAAAAAGCATTAAGTCTGGGGCTGGCCCCGTGGTGTAGCAGTTGGGTTTGGTGCACTCCATTTCAGCAGCCTAGGTTTGTGGGTTCAGATCCCGGGCTTGGACCTGCTCCACTCATCAGCCATGCTGTGGCAGCATCCCACATACACAGTAGAGGAAGACTGGCACAGATGTTAGCTAAGGGCTAATCTTCCTCAGCACAAAAAAACAAAAAAATTAAGTCAGGTAAAGAAACATTCCAGGGGCCGGCCCAGTGGCACAGTAGTTAAGTTTGCATGTTCCGCTTCAGCAGCTCGGGGTTCACTGGTTGGGATCCTGGTTGCCAATGTGGCACCACTTGGTAAGCCATGCTGTGGCAAGCGGCCCACATATAAAGTAGAGGAAGATGGGCAGGGATGTTAGCTCAGGGCCAATCTTCCTCAAAAGAAAAAAATTGTTTTTTAATGTAACAGCAGGCATGCTGAATATCTTCCAGTTGTCAGTCTAGGTCCCTCTTCACCCTTCTCTATCCTGCTTTGTGCCAGAAAAGCTGACCTTTATGGACAAAATTAACAGACTTCCTTGTCCTCTGGCTTCTGGCAGCTGCCCTTGGCAGGGGCTGTCCCTTGAGATCAAAGAGCAGGAGAGGGAGATGAGGGTCTCCCTCTCCCAGCTCCCTGCTTGCAGGGTCACTACACCTTAGCTGCTTTCCTTTCTCAAGGCTGTCCTATAGCCAGCAGCCTCCACTCACAGCCTTCTCTCCTCTCCAGATTCTGGTAACTGCTCTCTTACTAGCTCAGGAGTACTGCACTGTTCCTTGTAGCTTTTCCTAGAACCTAACCACACCTTTATGAAATTCTCCTCAGCTCATTCCTTACATGTACCCTGTTTTCTGCTAGCAGGCTCACTGAGAGGGAGGGAATGGGCTCCATGAGAGAGCAGAAGAGAGAAACACTTGGCAGAGCTTGAGGAAAGAGTTCATGGTCAGAAGTAGAGGCAGATAAGATGGACATTTCTTTTTAATTTTTTTCTTTTCTTTTTTGTGGTGAGGAAGATTGGCCCTGAGCTAACTTCTATTGCCAATCTTCCTCTTTTTGCTTGAGACAGATTGTTGGTGAGCTGACATCTATTCCAATCTTCCTCTATTTTGTATATGGGATGCTTCCACAGTGTGGCTTGATGAGCGATGTGCAGATCTGTGCCTGGAATCCGAACCCACGAACCCCAGGCCGCCAAAGCAGAGCACGCAAACTTAGCCACTACACCACTGGGCCAGCCCCTTTAATCTTTTCCTATAAAAAGCCGGTAGTCCAGATTTGAAGACAATATTCTGAGCGAAGCTTAAAAATTCTTGACTGACATGTGAATGGCTGCTGGCCAACGGGCATGCAGCAAAGGTGATCACCTATCTTCTATCCTGAGCCCTCTTGAGCCTCATCTGTTTTCTACTCAATAGTTGTGAGCATAAAGGAAGAGTCTTTTTGTGGTACCTCCACCGGGTGGGCACATATTACCCTCTGGGCTTCTGTGATTCAAATCTCAACTGATGATAAAAGTAGCAACTAAAACCTTCCAAATAGCTAAACAACAGGCCATTCTACACTAATAATCCACTTTTGCCTCTGAGGAACTTGGCTGAAAGTATTTCTTCTGATTCTGCTTCCTTGAAAAAGAAATGCAATTATAACAATTTCTCTTTTTCAATGTTGGCTTATAAACTCCCAAAGAGAATCACTTACAAAGAGGATCTGAAACTTACAAAGAGGATCTGAAAATTCGAGCTTCTTTCTGCACCATCTGTGCAAGGATTAGGGGTGCATGAGTTCTAGGTTGTGGCTACGTAACAGCCAGCAACCATTCCGGGAAAAGACTTACATCATCTGCAAAAAGTTGCAATATGATAATCTCAAAGTGTTGTCTTAAAGTGTCTGTGCATAATGGTCAAGGCCTCGCGAAGTAAATTCACAGACCCTGTCCGATTACTCAACCCTCATTTCTCTCTTTCAATCCGTGGTTTTCATCTGCTGATCTCTTCATGACTCCTGACCATTGGACCTTCTTTGTCCACTGGCCCAGTGGAAGAGCAGTCCTAACTTGCTAATTAATAAGGAAAGAAAGCCTACGAGCCTGGGCAAGCCACTGAGCCAGTTCCAGAATTTGGAAGCAGCCACATTTTGTTTATCAGACACAAATCCTTTTTGCAGCTGGAACTTGCAACTCCTCAAGGCCTGCAGTGAGGCTCTTTTGGTGGCTGAATGGTCATTAGGGCCTCAGGCTCCTTTTCGCATCCTTCCACCATCCTATATGCAACTTCCACCCTCAGATCACCTCATAGTCCAAGATGACTGATCAAACTCAAGCCATGACTTCCAGGAAGAAAGAAGGATAAGGGGCTGGCCCGGCGGCACATTGGTTAAGTGCACACGTTTCACTTCAGCGACCTGGGGTTCACCGGTTTGGATCCCGGGTGCAGACATGGCACTGTTTGGCAAGCCATGCTGTGGTAGGCATCCCACATATAAAGTAGAGGAAGATGGGCATGGATGTTAGCTCAGGGCCAGTCTTCCTCAGCAAAAAGAGGAGCATTGATAGCAGTTAGCTCAGGGTGAATCTTCCTCAAAAAAAAAAAAAAAAGGATAAGAGAGCTACCTCCCAGCTAAATCAATCCCCTTAAGCGGCCATCCCCAACCTCCCATGCAAAACGTGGACAAAGCTCATGGATAGAACGGAGTCTGTCAGGGAGGCTGAAAAAACAGTCTGTTGGCTAGGTACATAATCGTCCCTGCAAAAAAACTGAGATTCTTACATTAATGAAGAAGGCAAGAAGATTCTGTTTAAGCAGCTGGCAGTATCTGCTGTGCTGCCTTTCTTTTAATTAAAAAAAATAATTCAAAAAATAAGCTTTTGAGAGAGAGATTCCATTATGAGACTGTGAAGGTATCAAAAAGCTGATGTAACATAGATCTATATCTTAATGAAAGAAGTACTTTTCATAGAGAGCGTACCTTTGGAACACATGTTGGAATTGAAACACAACTACATTTGTTTCACTGTGCCAGTTTCTACCATACATATGGATACAATTTTGCTCAGAAGTGTATTGTACATATTTTAAACATAGATATTGGAAAACCAAGTTTTGCTAAATGTGTTTTTCTGATAACTAAAGTCACAACACTTCTGAAGTGTGGTAGGGATGGAGGCAATTTGCTCTCATCCTGTCACTTTGCATTGTGCCCTAGAGAGAACCCACAGCTCCCCACATAGGCAGCCTGGAAGCTCAAGCACGTCCAAGCAGGTTCACGGGAAATGGAAACTGGACTTGGGCAGGAAGGAATAACAAAAGCGGAATGTTAAAAATGGGGGAAAAAAGGAAAAACCCTGGATTAAATTATACATTTTAAAAGCTCACCAACACAAGTAATTTTCAAAAGAAATAATTTAGTGCATCAACTGAACTAGCAGTGGCCATCCTGAGGACGCCTTCTGTTTTAGCTCCATCCACCAACCTACCCCGAACTACCCCAAATAAATAATCACTCTAAACAGGAATAATGTATCTGCTACGTAAATATATCCTCAAGTAACATCCTTTGGCCCAGAGCTGCACCCCCTACTCCTTCCACTCAAATTCTTAACTCAAATTCTATCTTGTATAGATATTCTGGAGCCACCAGTGAGAACTAGCCATCGTGCTTTAGGAAGCAGAGTTGAATAGTTGCAACAGAGACTTTATGGTCCACAAGCCTTAAATATTTACTATCTGGCCTTTTATGGAAATATTTGCTGAGTCCTTCCTGACTGCACAAACTTGATATGCATTCCTTTATTGCCCCAGTATTTATTAGATAGCTACTATATATCAATTACTGTGCTCCTCCTTTCTACTTAAGAAGCTTTCAGACAAATGAAAGAGGTAGATAATGAAAATGCCCACTGATAAGGGCTACGTTAGGGACAAAAGCAGGTTGCAACATGAACGTATACGGGAGGCGCTAACCCAGAATAGAGAGGAGGGAGGATTGTAGCCAGGAAAGACTTCCTGACGAAAACAGTATCTAAGTTGATATTGGATGGTAGGTAGGAGTCAGCCAGGCAAAGAGGGAGAAGGCGCAGTAATTACAATGGCCCAGAGAGAAATTAGGGAAATTCAAACATTTCAGAGATGAGAGTGAAAAAAGGGCAGCAAAGGTTTAGAGATACCTATGTCAGATTGACAGCAAGGGTAACGGATGGAAGAAGTGTCATAAACTAAATAGCATAAGATGGGCCACTGAGTCAATACCAGAAAGCACAGCCACCCAGGGTGCCCTGCAGCAGAAGACAGGAAGTGAGCCTGTTAGGAGAGGCTGAAGCCCCGCAGCACAGGTTGGTTGTGGAGGAGGCTGATGAGAGAGGAGTCCAGGGCTGGGAAGAAAGGTAACGGTGAGCCAGTGGTTCTGACCTGGACAGGGAGGGGTGGTCTTGCTGGTGGCGCTCAGGCTCCTGAGGAGGAAGTGTTCTTAGACAGGCAGCTCTTCAGGGAACGCCCTCTGGCTGCAAGCTCTGCCTCCATGGCAAAGGAAGATATAATTGTCCTCTCCATTATTTTTCCAAATCCCTCTGCAGGCTGTATCTGAAATTCTTTTGGTGGTTATAAAGCCTTTTATTCTAGGACTAGAGATAAAGACTTAAAATGCAAATGTTGATTGAGGTTAAAACATTGCAATTTATTCGGACCAAAGTATAATCAGAAAATGAGCCAACAGATATCAAATCATTTCCAGTTTTAATTTACGGGACTTTACGGAAGGGAAGGAGTCGCTAACAAAAGATCCTTACTTACAAGGGCCAGTCCTGTTTATTCTCCAAGGGAGCTGGGGAGGAATGAATAAAAGCTAAGATACTCCGTCAGATTTAGGAAACTTGTGTTCTTTTCTTTTAGTTGAGGGTGTAGGGACGGAAAAAGTTCTCCTAGGGTCTCTGGCTAGGTCTGAAAATTAAACCGACAAAGACAGATTAACAGGATCAAAGCACACAAATTTTATTGGATTTTCCCATGTACATGAGAGCCTTCCCAAGAGAACGAAGACCCAAAGAAGAAACCAGAGCAGGAAGCTTTTATACCTTTTAGAGGAAGAAACAATAAATTTGTGAAGAATTGACATGACACAGCAGTCTGGGCTAGGGGTAGTAAATGGTGAGGAAACTAGGAAGATAAGGATTAGTTAAAATTTGTTTATATAGACTTCTCGGCCCTAAATTCCATCTCTGGTGATGAGAATGTCTTCTTTCCTCCTGGCGTAGAGAGGGGACCTGTCACAGCGGGTTTCATGACGTGTTTCAGAGAAGAAAGGGGGCGGGCAGGAAAAGGTGGGAGGGGTCCGAGTGACCCTTGTGCAGCTGCATTTTCTCGAATTTCTTCAGTTTAAGATATTCAGCATGCCACATGCCACAACTAGAAGGACCCACAACTAAAAATACACAACTATGTACCAGAGGGCTTTGGGAGAAAAAGGAAAAATAAAATCTTAAAAAAAAAAAGATATTCAACATGCCAAGGTGCTTATATTTTGGGATAGTGTGTGCCCTGAACCACATCAAGGTATATCTTGTTTTGTAAGATGTATATTTTTGAAAATAATTATTTGAGAGCATTGTTGTGGATATATCACTTTTTTTAGGGAAGGATTCCCCGCCCCCCCCCCCCCGCCCCAATTTATTGTCATTTGGTTTGAGCATTTCATTTAATTTTCAGAATTTCTGCCCTACTCTCTTTCCCCAACAAAAAGCCCTAGATTGGTGTACCTTACGTGTCCACCCCCCCCCCCCCCCGCCCCAACCCCCCGGCCTTTGCCATCCTATGCAGACCTTTTCATTCCCATTTTCTGTTTGGTTCCTCTATCTCCTGCATTAGATCTTGTGTCTACAAGTGCAGGGGCTATTTGATTTTGTTCACTGTGTACTTCCCAGTTCCTAGCTCAGAGTCTGGCATATAGTAGGTGCTCAATAAATATTCTCGACTAAATAAATAACAGTATTGAAATGTTGTGTATATTTCTTTGATCCAGTTAGTAACTACAAGTTGCCTACTGTTTGGTACATGTCAATTAGCAGAAAAAAAAGAGTTCTGCTCTATAAGCATGTTTATAGGAGCGATCCAATTAAGAAGAAAATTTCAGACTATAAAAAAATTTCTATTAGGACATGGTCTTATTAAATATATATTACATTACATCATGCTTCCGGACAAACTTTACAATTTCTTTTTTCTTAATGCACACTTTAAAACTGGTCTGCCTCTATTTCTCCAAGGGCATTTGCATTAAATTGGCAAAATATAATGCTCTGAAAAGAAATATTTTAAAATATTAAAAATTATTTATTTCTATTTCTGCTATGTAAAAAAAGTGATTTTCTAGAAATGAAATAATTCAAATAGGCACTTTGGGGTTTTTACCTAAGATGCTAATTATTTTTTAAAAAGCTCTTTCTGGCAAAATCAATGCAAACCTATGTGTTAATACTCATAAATGTACCTAGGATTGAATTTATTCTGAAATAGATTCCTCGGTTGTGAAAGCTTGAGATTGCTCTAACAGAAGACACATTTAAGAAAATATCCATTAAAAATTTTTCCTTTGCTCTCTCTTATTCTCCCCCCTCGTACATTCCATCGATTTTATTGAAAAATTGGTTTATTCTAACATCATTTTATTTGCAATGGTTTTAGCACCAATGCTTAGGTCAATCAACTGCCTCCTTAGGTTTATGGGTATGTATTTATAAATACAAGCTGTTTTGCATATTCTTCATAGAGCATGTGGAGAAAGTAACAAAGGTATAAAAGCAGAAGGCTTTTTTTTTTCTTTTAAGACATATAGGCCCCAAGACCACTCACAACGCGCAGGAGGGGGCTTGGATACAAAAGGAAACTAAATTTTGTACCGCCACGAAAGTGAAGAAATGGATAACTTCAGAGGCACTTACGCTGTATTCCACCTAAAAACGTGCTTTGAGGACGTCAGGCAGGAGAACGCTATCCAGCCCCGAGCAGACTCCCGCCGCCCACCAGGGAGCTGCGGGGTGGCGGCGGACACCCGGAGGAGGCGACCAAAAACCACACTTCCCAGAGTGCTGTGCGCAGGCCGGGCGCGCGCTGCTCGCCCAGCGCCCGGAGGCCGTCGCTCCCGGGAGGCCGAGTCGAGACGACGCCGGGGCTCGGCGGGGCCGCGCAGGGGCGCGCGCGTCCGTCGAGTGCTCGCGCGGGCTGGTGCGGCGCCGCTCGGGACTGCGGCCGCGGGGAGCGCGGCTGCAGCCTTCGCGAGGCCGGGAGGCGGCGAGCGGAGGGACGAGACGAGCATCGAGGTAGCCGGCCGCTCGGCCCCCCCTCCCCGCTCCCTTTGTGCGGCGCCTTTGGCTCGCGCCGAGCCCTCCCTCACCCCGGCCCCAAATGGTCCCGCCGCCCCGGCTCGCGGTCTGGCGCGGGGATCCTCCGGCCCGGCGCGCAGTAAGCACAACTCCACAGCTCGGAGGGCTGGGCCCGTCCCCCCGCTGCACGGCTTCTGTCGCCCCCGTCGGCGGGAGGAGGGGTCGTCGGGGCCCGCTCCTCGCCGTCTTTGGCGGCGCGGCGCCGGCAGGTGCTCCGCGGGTCGGGGACTGGGCAGGCGCGGCTGCTGGCGCGGTGCGTGGTCCGGAGGGCGCCCCCGGCCCTGCAGCGCGGGGACCGCGGCCCGCCCGGGGCTCAGGCGCGCGCGGCGCTGCCCGCTCGGGGGCTCGGTGCCTGCTCGGGACCTGCCCGTCGCGGGGGTTACTCGCCCCCGGGACTGGCCCGCCGGCACGAGTCCGTCCGCGGAGCGCGCTGCCCGCGCCAGGCGTACCCTCGGGGCGGGGGAGACGCCCGCCTGCAGCCCCTTCCAGAGCGCGCCGCCGTCGGTGGAGGGGACTGCCTGCCGCAGGTGCCCCTCTTTCCTCCTGCCTCTCAGTCCTGGGCTGAGGTCGCCTGCTGGGGTCTTCAGCGGGGGCCGTTGGTCTACACAGGGGACGTTTTCTAGCTCGTCCTTTACGGGATTTGCACAGTCCTAGCGTTTGCGTTTGAAAAGCTTTTTATGTTTTCCCGCTTGGCATTGTTTAATCAGATGACTTTTCGTGGAAAACTGCACTTTTATTAGTATTCCTTTTACTCTGTTTTCATAGCATAGCTGTGTTGGGCCCTTTGCCCTATGCTAATGTTACCACCTTGCGAGGATTCTTGGGCAAAAGGTTCTCGAAAGAACCTGCGTTGATACAAGTATTTTGTCTGCTGGTTGCACTTTTTCTTCCTTTGCGTTGTTTTTCTTCTGTGTGAGTCGATCGCGGTTCGACTCTGGGTGTTCTTCCCCCTCCCTCTAGGAGGAAACCCGGGCGTCTTGACCCTGCCGGGGGGTAGACTTGGTGAGCAGGGACCTCTGTTTGGCGGCGGCTTTTTTCATTGGCTGCTGCTTTTCCTCCTCCTTCCCCCCGGCACCCCCTTTAGTCTGTCAGTCAACCCGTGACCTTCTTCAAACTTTTTAGTCAGTCTCTATCTTGCCTTTAAGATACCAAATAGTGTGAACATGAGTATAAAAGTAAATCGCAGGGTATGGTACTCAACGATTGCATTTAGCTTCATCATGTTAGCATTTAAGGCTGCCAGTTCTTTTTAGCGTTCGATAAGATTACTATTATTGTTTTTAATATAACATATTCTGTAATAATTGTACGTTCTGTATCCTGGCAGGAAATTTAGTTCACAATCAGTGAGGGTAATTTTTTTTTAACTTTTTGTTGAGATTATGATAGTTTACAACCTTGTGAAATTTCAGTTGTACATTGTTTGTCGGTCGTGTTGTAGGTGGGCCACTTCACCCTTTGTGCCCATCCCCACGCCCCACCCTCCCTTTCCCCTGGTAACCATTGATCTGTTCTCTTTGTCTACCTGTTTAACTTCCACATATGAGTGGAGTCGTACAGAGAGTGTCTTTCTCTATCTGGCTTATTTCACTTAACATAATACTGAGGGTAATTTTTTAAAAACAATGTTTCCTCATTTGTTAGGAAGAAAGTGTGGTAGATAAATTTTGACCCTCCCCCCCATTTTTCAAAATTGAGTTTATATTTAGATCAGTTATAGGTTCATGGCAATATGGAGTGGAAGGTACAGCGATTTCTCACATATGCTGCTTGCTCTGCCCCGCATGTGCTGTCTCCCGCAGGATCAAAATCCCCACGCAGGAATGGTACATTTGTTACAGTCGACATTGATCCATCCTTGCCACCCACAGTCCAGAGTTTATGGATCACTCTCGGTGTTGTATATTCTATGGGTTTAGACAAATAACCCCTATTTAAAAAATCAAGAACTTTAAAGAGTTGTAGAGAACTGAAATGGGTATTACCATTTTAAAAAGATTAAAGGGAATATTTTGAACATCCTAAAAGACAATTTTTTCCCCATAGGGCAAGAGTTCTTTATTCACATGAAGAGTATTAATTTTCCATTACCTTCTGTCACCGTCGTCTTCTCAGTAGGGTCTCAGTATTTCTCCTAAAAGTTAATTTTAAATAGCTTTTGTGTTTTGAGAAAAATTGGATTTTTAAACTTCGGTTTCTTATATTTGAATATTCCAATAATCATTTGTTTTTTTATATTAAGAATTAAAGAAGGGCCGGCCTGTGGCCAAGTGGTTAAGATCACGTGCTTGGCTTCCCCAGTCCAGGGTTTGCCGGTTTGGATCCTGAGTGGGGACCTAGCACCGCCCATCAAGCCATGCTATGGCCGCGACCCACATAGAAGAGCTAGAACGACTTACAACCAGGATATACAACTATGCACTGGGGCTTTGGGGAGAAAAGACAAAAAAAAAAAGAAAGAGATGAGAGAGAAGAAATGCTTCATAGAATAACAAAACATATTTCTCAGTCCTAAAACTCATTAGCTTGACCATTTCTTCACTTTTCTGAAAAACTTGTTTTATGTTAACCAGTGAAGCAAGAGGAAATCGAGCATTTTTAAATGTCTTAATTTTTCTTTACTGATGTCAAGATGTATCTACAATAAAAGTGACCCATCAGGCTTTTTTTTTTTTTGTAATCTTTTTTTTCTGTCTGCTGGGCTTTTGTGGAAGCATCAGGATATTATAATTTACTGAGCTCAGTTCCAGAACTAGACAACCCTGGATTAGAATCCCAGCTCTCGACATGTTGGCTCTGTGACAGTGGCAAGTTATTTTCTGAACTCTATTTCCTTAGCTGTAAAAAGAGGATACAAATTTTAATTGTTATAATATATGAAATCGTTTTGTAAACTATAATGCACTATAATATTCATCGATATCACTAGTCACGTGCTGTATTTTAAAATGCTGCCAGTGTAATTTATTTTCTGGTGAATACTGCTTATGTAAATACTATCAATTGCTTGTTTTAAAGAGTTTCCTGTACAAGAGGGTTCATTGTCTGATTATGAATAATTTAGTCGGTTCTTGTGAGTCAGAGGTAAAATTACAGAAGAGGGTCAAAGGGACTTTTGGAAAATTTCTACTTCATCTCCCTGGTTCTTAACTTGGATCTGTGGCGGTGCCCACAAATGGCCTGCCAGGAGTCTGTGAACTCTTGTGTCTATCTGTACCTTTCTGGGGAGAAGACCCACAGCTTTCAACAGATGTTCAAAAGTGGTACATGACCACCTTTCCCCCGAAGGTTCTAAGAACCATTAGCTTCAGTTGTCTAGGCAGGTTTCTTTACTAGATATTTTGCAGATTATTTTTAAAATTAGTTTTTTTTACAAAAGACTGTGAGTACCTGGTTTTCTTTCAGCCAGAACTAGAGGTTGATATTTATGGTATAAAATGTTCATACGAATAACAGTCCTGCTTCTCATATCTGGAGATGACACTGCTGATTGGTCCATTATCCTTAGGCAGATACTGTCCCCCCCCCACCCCCCCACCTTGATGGGCAATAGGATGCATGGCAAAGAATGGCCCCTAATGCAATCCAGCATGCTAGAATATTATTTTGAAATGCTGAAATGTAGTTTGATTTGTTTATTCTAAAATTCGGATGTATTTTTTGTTTTCTCAACAAAACACCAAATGCTAAAGAAAATTAAGTATTTTATCTCCCAAACTAGATGATGATGTTTACATAGTATATTTGTTGTTGTGTAATATTTCTTCTTGTATAGCGCAGAGTGTAAAGTTATGTTAAATCTTAATTGATGATCATTTTGACTTTCAGTGTTGCTGGTTTGGAAGGAACATGGAATTTACAATCAATTTATGTAGATTCGATTATAATTTGTAATTTTAATTTATAACATTGAAAATTAATCTTATTTGCATTTTGGGAATTTCAGGATTAAGTTAGAGTTCTAGGTTTGAGTTCATTCTTGTAACAGAGTTTGGAAGCAAGCTGTATTTTCCTTGTTAGTGCTAGGTTGCTGGGCTATAAGGCTTTACAGTGTGAAGCCAGCTTCTGTTTCTGGGTCAGTTACCAGCAGCAGCCACAAGGTCTGAAAGGTGTGAGGTGGATCAGTGATGCTGTACCACCTTCTGAATGAATCTGTCCAGCAGAGTAATGTCTTTTTGTCTTATTCTTTGAGAATTTTTTTTCTTTTTCCCTTTGATTTTGGTATTTTCGTTTGAAGTCTGAATGCTTTTCAAAGTTCAAGGTTCTAAATCAATACTTGAGGATTTGTAGAATAAAGTAACGGAACTGTGTTTGGCTCCCTAGATTTTCTGTTTATAAAAATAGATCTCAAAGATCAATAAAGATGAATGCCAGCATTTGCATAGTACTTTACGTGTGAAAGATAAGTCACTGTGCTGCATCTTTAGTTATTTTAAGGCAGAGGATTCCTTTTTTAGTTTAATAATGAAAGTTTGAGTTAATTGGATATGGAAAACAGGAATCATTTCAGCAAAAATTTTTCCTGTGGGAACACTATCATTTTAAGAAGATTAGTGATTTAATGTGTATTCTCTTACTCTTGAGCTTTAAAAAAAGTCAAAAACATTTTCTGTATGGGGAGGATATTAATACCCGTATTTTAGTTGTCATAGAGTAATTTATACATACTGTACAAAGATATAGTTACACTCCCATATGAAGATATAGTTAATGCCATCTTTGGCCAAGTGTTAGGAGTTTTGGCTTTGTAGTCAGGCAAGCCTATGTTGGGTCCTGGCTGTTGCCACTTAATAGCGGTGTGACTTTGCTTAGGTTTCTCAACTTCGCTGAGCCTCATTATCCACATCTGTAAATATAAGAATGCTACCTTTTTAGGTTGTCCTGAGGATTTAAATGAATAAATGTGAAGTATCTAACTCAAATAATAATAGCAGTTA